CTGTCCCATTGTGTTTTAGATGACAGTGCTACTTTTACTTCATATAGGAGTTGTATATCTGTTAAACTTTTGCACAATTCAAACTGAAAAAAGAACTTATTTAAAATGTTTCTTTATTTCAGTTCACTCAGAAGATGTTGGATAACTTCTATAACTTTGCTTCCTCATTTGCTGTTACTCAGGCACAGATGACCCCAAATCCTTCTGAAGCTTTCATTCCTGCAAATGTAGTTCTGAAATGGTAATGGAAATCATCTCTAATAACAAATGTTCTTTTTTTCCTATGCATTAAACCAGCTGATTTCTAAGTATTAAACTACTGTCATACTATTCAGTGAGATGATGCAAAAATGTTTACAAGTGTTTGTTGTTGTTTATCACAAGTGTAGAGATGTTCTATCCGCTGTTTTTATATTTATTTGTCAGCATCTTCATATCAGTTCTTTGTTAGAAAAGTGCTATACAGCCTATGAAATTTTTTGCTTCTAAAAATATCGCCCTTGACATGTTTATTAGCACTATGTTGCTGATTATGCAAATGCTCTGGAGTCATGGGAAGACAACACACCCATACGTGTCAGTTTGTGCTTATTTGTTATGCTTAGTCTCTTCTTAGACATAGTTACATTGCTTAAGAATATGGGAGAGGTGGAGAAGCTGTGTTCCTAGCTGACCTGGTTCTGTCACCAAGACCCTTGAGCACAAATACAAAAGTCTCTTTGAGAGTTGTTTTTTCAGGGACTGGTTTAAGAAATAACTGTCTCTGGGGATAGCCTGTGCAGTCTGGAGACACATTGTGAACTGCAAGCTGTCCTTTGGGGTGTCTGAAAAATTCTTTCCTACAGTTTATCAGTTTAGCCCTCTTTAGCTTCTACAGCATTAACCTAAAGCTTTTTTAAAACAGTATTTTGGGTTCTCTGAATACAGTTTTATCATTAGTATAGATTTCATAAATATGCAGGCAGTTAACATAAGCAATATATTTTCTGTGGGAGTGTAACTTGATGCAGATCCCTTCTATTTAGAAGGTAACTATGCATTCCATGAACATATGTGGGTAAGGTCTCTGAGAGAAATCAAAGGGAAAACTGAAGAAGCAGGGTAATGGCTGGTTGTTGCCTGAATGATGCTGAATTTGCTTTTGGCTGTTGTTCAAAACAGTATAGTGAAGAATAACTCTAATAAACTGAACACATTTGTGTATAGAAGCCTGTTAATGTGACTACAGCCACAGAAAACCAACATTTTTTAGCTCTGTATGTTTGTGAGTCATTATAATGTGTTTAATTACAGCTTGTAATATGTAGAGTATCTTAGGTCTTTGCTATGAGATGGCTACAATGAAAATTCAATAATTTGGCCTAAATTATTTAATAAATAAGCCTTTCTCTAATTTGAGTGGATTTAAAACCCTTCAGAGTCTCTTTTCTCATTTGAGTTTGGTTAGGAGAACCTTTTTTGTTTTCTTTGTTTCATTGGCAGTAGCTTTTGATATGTTACAGCTTGGGTTTATGGGGATCAAAAAGAGGTTTTAGGCTTTTGTAGCTCAAAGCCTGAAGGCTTTTTTTTTTTTTTTTTTAAGAAGTCACAGAAATCATGTACTTTCCCTATTCCTTCTGTAGGTCAATAATGAATTCTGATGTTGGTTTTATTTGTGGTTTTCTTGTTTCTGTGAGTACAGAAAGTGAAATTAGGACAGCATGTGTGCATACTTGATTCCATTATGTGCTAGAGAATTACTTTTCCTCAGATTGTTACTAAAACATTACTGTATATAATAAATTTTAAAGTTAGGATTATTTGGTGAGGGTGGAAAAATAATGGGTACTACTTTGTCTGAAGGTCTCTGTTAGAACTACGAGGCAAATCAATGCATACCCGTGAGTGCAGAATTGTCTGCAGTCCCCTCTGCCTTACCTCAGAGCAGGTTCCACACAGCCTCCTGGGAAGCGAGTCCTGTGCTGGGGTCCGTGGTCTCTGTGCAGGCCTGCTCGAGGCTGACAGGCTTGCTAGCTCGTGTCTACCATCCTGTGGATTGAGAGGTGCTAAGCTGGCTCTGGGCACCCCAGGTGGAACAGCACTGAAGGCACAGCTGAACTGTAGATTCAGCAGTGGTATTACCTTCCCCCCCAGTATTACTGTGTATCCCTAAATGGCGTGAGGTTTTCCTGGTTTGCTTTTGCTGGGGTTTCTTCTGTGGGAAACCTGGCCTGATTACTAGAATGATGGGCAGCCTCAGACTCACACTTCTACCTGCCTGAACTTTGATTTCCTAGCCCCAAAAATATTATGCACAAAATAACCACTTTTAATTCACTTACAATTTTACTAAGCTTGAATGAGCATCTCTGGGATACCACTCCATGAAATATGAATGGTTGTTGAAATACACAAGTCTCACTGAATATTCTTGATGTGGAATTGTGAAGGAGAATTTTGGATTTACTCCCTGGTGTGGAATAGATGTAATTTATTGTGTCCTCTGCATAGACTAAATTATTTGTATCCTTTTTGAAGCCATTGTATTTGCAGCAACTTTTGGGGTTTGTTTGTTTGTTTTTCTAGGTATGAGAACTTCCAGAGACGTCTGACACAGAACCCTCTCTTCTGGAAAACATAAGCTTAACTTGTGTCATTTGAAGTGCTTTTTAAACGGTGTTACCTGAAAGATGCAGCAAGTAACTCCACTGAAGAATTTTTGGGGGAAAAATAAAACAATTAGTCTGAATAGACAAACTTGTAACTTTTGTATTACTCTTGAAAATTATTTAAAATTAAAATCCATGAAAACTACTTGCCTATGTTTTTGTTGTTTTTTTTTTTTTTTTTAACTGAAGTACTTGGCTGCAATAAGAAATTGATGTTCCATGTGCATGTGTAGAAATACTCTTTTGAAACTGCATTTAAAATGGAATAAGTTACAAGATGAAAAATGGCAGCATTGTTTCATACTTATGTGATGTTTTGGGGTGTTTAGTTGTAAACACAATAAATGTAATTTCCATACCTCATTCTGAAGGGTGATCATGCAACTGAGGATATGCTGATGGTTTTCCTGCTGGCACTTCCACAAAGTGGAAGAACTTAATGCAAGTTCTTCACTTCATATTAGTCCCCATCTCATATAAACGGTACAAAAGTATTTCCCTCTTTTTGGCATGAAGACACTATGATTTCAGGGTACCTGTCTAACTTTTCCTCTATGAAAGTGTAATGAAGAGAAATCTTTGGGGACTCTTTCCCTGCTGCAAGTCAAACAGCTTTGAAACAGCCATTACAGATCAATTCAGAGTTGTAGATTTGCACTTTGCAGCCCCAGACCGTTCAGTGAGATGAGTGCTGCTGGGTCGTTGACAGTGGAGGTATGTGATGAATTTGCCTTTTTTTTCAGCTCTCTCCCATTATGGTATGAAGAATGACATGGAGGAGGAGGAATAATATGCATAATGGTTCTTAGTGCCAGCAGTTCCGTAGAGGCAGCAGAACTAGAGGTTAAAAAACTGCCTCCAAGCTCCAGTCTCACCTGTCATCTTCTCCAGCTAATCTGTGTTCAACCCTGCAGGTATTTCAGTCTCCTCCCCCCCGCACTCAGGCTTGTACCTGCTTCTGTCCCACTCTGTGGATTTACACTTGGCTTTCTGATCACGTCCCCACGACCAGTCAGTCAAGGACACCCCTTCTGAGAGTGAACGTGCTGGCCACCTGGCTTCGGCAAGAAAAAAGAAGGTCCAGAATCCAGTTTAATTCAACACTAGTTTTGGACAGGCTTAGGCTATAATGATACTACCACACCTCCCCAGAAGTGAGGACAACAATTTAAAAAAAGACAAAAAAAAAAAAAAAAGAAAAATCATATATTACAGACTCAAACTTGTGCAGTACTTGCCAGTTTGACTTCACTTTTTGCAGGCTTCCAAGGACACAAATCAAAACTGGCTTGGTCATTTTACTTCAAACTGAACAGATAGTTTATCTAAACAGAGCACGTAACAAGCTTCCCAAAGTAACAAACAGAAAAAAAGTAATATCCGGAAAGATAAGTCAGCTATGCACTGAAGAAGGCAGTAGCAGACAGGACTGCTTAATCTACTGATCAAAAAAGCACTATTACGTTGCCAACAATAGTGCACTTTTATTCATAGAATATCCTAATACATTCTTTTCAAGTAATGTGTAATGGTGAAGGATAAGAAGAGCACAGTAGGGAAAAAGAGAGAGTAAATTGTTCAGCTTCAGTAAATGTTACAAACCTTTCTCATTCAGGTACGCACAGCTCCGGTGCCATGGCTTGGACCACTCCCAGCACACACACATTTCAACTACAGGCTGAGTAGACACGAGTGTTTTGAACACCATTATCACTGTTAATGGTAACTGCCATCTTAGCCATTTTCCCCCTTTCATTTTTATTAACTGTACGTATTTTAAACCTATATGAAATAATTTTGGTTTTCTAATTCATTATTCCTAGGGCGAGTAAAAACCACTGATGATGCTACTTGGGGATACTGACAACAGAGGCAATTAAAATATACTTGCGATAACTAACTTTAACTTAAGGTAATTGCAGTAACTAAACAGCCAGAATCCAAACAGTACAGCAATGTGATCCATAAAGAAAAAAAAAAAAAGCCAGTAAAGTTTTTTCCCCTAATCAATAACAAATGGTGAAAAGCACATTCCAATTTGAGATTATTAAAACTGAATCAATTTCAATGTGCAACTAACTTAAGGAATGAGTCAAAAATATTTTTAGCAGTGATTTAACATTTATTTATACTACATTCCTAAGCGTAGTGTTTCCTTTGTGTGGTTCCCGGATAATATTCAGTAGATTAATTAGGTTTTCAGTCAAAAAGGCACAAATACAGCTGCAAGCACACACTTACCAATTTTCTAGCAAGTCACTGTATATTTATGTGATAGCTGTACACAAAGCAATCTCATCGGCCATAAGTGAAAACTCATTGTGGGAAATAATTAAAATGGACAATTCAGAAAACTTTACAAAAATACTTCTTTTTATTAAAAGCAGCAATTTCAAGCAAAACAATACACAGAATGTAAACATCACTAAGTTCAGCTCCAGCCTGCCGAACCTTCGAGAAAGTCTACACTAAATGCATCTACTGTACTAGCGAGTTAACAGACTATATTATAATTTGAAAATATATTTTCTACTTTGAATTAAGAAAAAGTAATTTATCGTAGTCTGTCCCAGCGCCAGATACTGGCATCATCACACACAGCTATAAGGATACTACTATCCCTGCTAAAACTGGTTTGTCGAATGGCAGCAACACATTTAGGGTGGGTAAGAGTCGTACACCTATAAATAAAAGAAAATTATTCAGCTGCAACATTAAATCTGCACTTGGTACTACATTATGGAGCAGTTTCACCAACCTCTTACTTATATGACCTAGGAGGAATTGAAGGGCAACAGGATTATGCCCTTCATGGTGTATTTTGTGTTCCAAATGTGGATTTGGGAAAGCAGTAATCTCCTGTGCACCCACCACTATTTCTCATCCACCCAATTTTCACTGAAGCTCTGACTGAAAACTTATTGAATCACAATATTTAGGACTTCATCAGTGTTCTCTCCCAGTGGTTAGGAATAAAATAACGTAACTGGATGATTAAAGGCTGCAGCATTTTCAGGAACTTTGTATGTTTATGTATATATATACACACACATATTTATATAGGTTATATATATAAATATATATAATTTATTATATAGTGAAAATACAAATATGTATTATACACATAATGTTTGTGATGTTTTTTTCTGGTGGTTGTTTTATAGGGTTTTTTTTTGCATCTGTATGTTTATATATATACTTTTTTTTCTAGAAAGAGAGAGAAGTAAGACTTGCTGTAAAATTGCCTGGCCACAGGTGAGGAACTGGAAAGCCATACTGTTTTCTCCACACTGTGCTCATAGCTAACTTTTATACACTCATTACTCTAGTCCTTTCACCTATTTCTTTTTTGTCATGTGCTACATCCACCTAGCACATCTTCTCTTAATTGCTTGGTAAATTTTCCACCTAATTAGTTTGTAAGCACTTTGAGGAACAAATTATCTTTTATTGTATCTAGAAATGGCACCCAGCACAATCTGACTGCACGCTCTTGGCACTACTGTGATATAAATAATAAATCAGTAAAAAGGAATAAATGTTAACCTTCAGGAGCTCAGGATGTTTATTTACCTAGTAGTTAAAATGGAAAGTGACTATTACCGTTACAGAATTTCTATAGTTATCGGTAAAAGAAAAAAACAGAGTTCCCCAGCTCCCTGTCTTAACAACAAAAAAAAAAAAATTAAAAAAGTAAATACTCACTTAGCTTTATGAGGATCCTCTATTTCTAAATCCCAGACGTAAAGTTTGCCAACCTGATTGCCCAGAGCAAGCATCTTTAAAAGAAAGCAGAGGATACAGAAGTTTTAAAATATTAACTCAAAAAATGGAAGTCAGAATTTTATAAAGGCTCTATAGCAGATGAATAGTGTGTGAATGTTCCAACACGAACAACTTAATGAGTTTGCTGGAAAGGCCAGAAATGCTATAACATTAGTCTCCTTTCTTCCACTTTATTATACACCTCTGCAGATGGGGGAAGAAGGTATTGGTAAACATACCCTTGATGGAAAATAAGTATTTATTTGGTGGAACTTCTTCCACCAGGCAGAACCCAGAATGAGAAATCTGGAGCTTCTGCAGTTTCATATAAAGCCCCTTGCAGCAAATCATCCTGCTTCTCAAACATCACATCACATAAACCAAGACTTCCTCTGCCCATAAATATGGAATCAGTGAAAAGTTACACACCTTCAAATGTAGCAAAGTCAAAGCTCACACATACCTTTTGCCAGAAATCCATTGAAAACCTCATGTACCATATATCACACTGGCTGTAATCAAATCTCCCCAGTATGGTCACGTTTGACTCACTGGGCTTGATTTTATCTATATCATCTTCCATTTTGCCAGGTTTCCAGCACACAATGGCATTTTCACAAGACTGGGGGGAAACAGAGGGGGGGAAAAAAAAAAAAAAAAAAAAATCACATTTACAATTTATACTGCACATTCATTCTAACTATAATTATAACCAAACATTTCATCTCACAGCTTCTCCAAATAAAAAAAGTACAACTGAAAATCTCACCTCTGTCCTTATACCACAGCCACATCACCAACAACCCATTGCTGCCCATCACTGGGAGCCTGCTGCCCTCACAGCTTTGCCAGATAACAGGGCTGCAGGAGCCCTCCCTCACCCACTTCAGAGGAAGTCAACCCAGTGTGCTCAAACACACTTTCATGAGCAGTTTAAATTAACCTTGATTTGAGGTGTGTTTACCCAATCCCTTTGACCAACAGGACCACGCGTGCACCAATTGCTGTCAATGAGGCAGTTGGACCACCTAGTTTAACATCTGCAAGCAAATGTTACTACTGGACACAACACATTGATCAAGGTTACTCCATTATGGGAACCCTCATTTCTCCTTTTAGCAGCAGGACCCCTCATCAGTATCTATATATTCTCTTTCTATGCATTCCATGCAGATTCTAGTTAGCTGCTACCCTTGTGCTTTTAGCAGAGGTGCAGCTCTAATAATAATTTTACTTTTTAAATACCAGCTGCTTATCCACACACCCTGGCAGTTGACAAAATTCACAATACACTCCATAAAATCATCTGATACAGCATAGTAATCTAACCTAAGACACAAATGTTAGTAAAACTTCTATTGCTTAAGATCCTCAAAACAAGCACAAGAGTAATGTAGCTGATAAAGCTGCAATGTTACCTTGGAAAGGATTAGATCGCCCAACCATCGTACACAGTCAACATAGTTTCTATGTATGTCTCTTGTAGAAAAGTCAGGAAAGTGAATTTTCTGGGAAATAAAAGGCCTATGGAGAAAAATGCCAAGTGAGGTTCAGAGAAACACAGAAGCAAAAGTCTAATTTTTAACAGCCATTTAGCATATCTCAATATTAAAAGGACAATCCTGTCTTGTTTTGTTTTAGCAGTTTTATAACAAAGTAGATCTTTTCATGTTAGTTTTTTTTTTTAAATAATAATGGGAACAGTCCCTGTTTTCATCCTCATTCCTAATGAAACAACTAGTCTCCCATGCACAAGACTCTGCAGAAACAGTGCTGAAGAAAACCACTCCTTCAGATGCTGAATACAGCTCCTGTTGCCAAACACTTCAAGAAGTAAAACTCAGTTTTCCTGATGCTGCTTCTGCAACATCTAAATTGTTAAATAGAAACGAACACTATTTTTAAAAAAAAAATAAAATCATAATTTTGAAAAAAAGCACGCTAAAAAAGCATCATTTAATATTTGGTAACATTACCAAAAAAAGCGAGAGTATTTTCACAGCTAGTCTCATTGCTGAACATGTTCAGTGTGTTTTAGATTCTTCAATTCTCTCAATGGTTTAACTGGAAGTTAAGATTAAAAAGTTGAGGAACTTCATAGAGCAGGATTTATCTATCGTATTTATTTGGTATGTTTACTTGACAATTTACTCATATCTGAGGTCAGATCAGAGAATGATGAAAATTAAGTTTATTACTATGTAGTTTTGTCCCCACCCCAAAGTCAAGTAATGGATACAATAGTTAGTAATAACTACTCAACATAAAACTATTTGCTACATTTAATTACATGGACTTGATTCCTTCCTAGAAATTTTGAGGTAAGAGAAAGAAAAGCCACTGACATCCTGAAACACAGTGAAATACAAGCTTTAATTAAGAAGTATAGAGATATTAATTCCAGACATTTTCTAGAGAAGCAGATAAGAAATAATTAAGATATTTAAAAATAAAAGTGTCAGGACTTTAAATCTGAATTCATTAAAATTCTACTGAAGCAAACATCAGTAAGATACACCTTCTGGAGAGATTCAGTATCCAACACAATCCCCAGGTCACTCACTATCCCCAAGAACTCCTGCTTTGGATAGGAATTAACCTGGGCCATGAAAATATTTATGTTTTGCAAAGACAACCAAGAAGATAAAGACTACGTACCTGTTGGTTTTATTTGGGTTGTACTCATAAGACTCTTTGATAGCATTTATCATTCTCTTGGAATTAATTCTCCAGAGTTTTAAAGAGTGATCCATCCCACAGGACATGATTTTTTCACCAAGAAGATCATAATCCTATGTATATGAAATAATTTTGAGGATCCCCAGCCTAAGCTGCATTACAGTAACTCAGCTTTTATTCCATTTCCATCAAAACAGCATTTTTGGCTTAGAGAATGCAGTAAAATTGTGTATTTCAAATAGAAAAATACTAATAACTTGATCCTGCTGACTGCGAAGAAGCACAGTATCTTAATAATTATATTTACTCTCTCTCAAGAGAGAGAGGCATATTCAACAGCACTGACAGACAATGAATCTACTGCTAGTGCTCCCACCTCAGTAAATTCCCTAGATTTCATTTCATTGAGCAACTCTGGCAGAATTCCAGGGCTATGACTATTTAGAACCACAAGCGAATAATACTATGTCAGGTTTCATGTAGATGCACACTTCACCTTTCAGGTCACACAACAGGAATGGAAACAGTTCTTAAGAGCAGCATACTGGAAGTCAACTATTCTAGTTGATAATTGCTGGGTACCAGTGTCTGTTCACAGCCACTGAAAAGCAGCATAACTCACCTGAAATAACTTCTTTCCTTCACTACCATGTCTCTCAAGGCTTATTCTTGCTGCTTTGGCTTGGTAAGACCTCAAGAACTTCAAAAGTGGGACCATCATGAAAACTTTTTACTCTTTCTAGCCCCACTGAGCTCTACTTTATTTACTTCTTGGCTGCACTGTGAGAAAACTAGCTACATAGAAAGTGAACACCTGTCCTGTATATTGAGAGGTGGCCAGATCAATCAAACCACCTTAGATTTAAACTTGTCTATCCCCTTAAAACAGTATTTATGCACTTCAGGTTTTTTTAAGTAGGTATAATATCAAAACAGTGCACAAGAGGATAAAAAGTTGCATATTGTAGGCTTACTACCCTTTGTAAATCTAAATCACTGCCCAGAGTCTTCCACTTACTGCACTTAACACCTCATCCCTGTGCCCTTCTACTCCTCCAAATATTGCAACCAGCGTGTCTGTCTGGATGTTCCACAGTCTCAATGCATGATCTATAAAGAACAAATAAAATTACATGCTGCTTTTTATACGTACATATGAATAATATATTTCAGCTTAACTACTGTCAATAACAGGTGTTCATGTAAAAATCAAAAAGCACATAACTCTTCTTCACTTGTGAGAAACAACGGAACTGCATTAACTAAAATTGCCATTACAACTGAACTATTGTTAGAGTAATTCTGTAATTAAGAAAGTGTGCCCACCCCCCTTCCCTAGGGACAGCTTCAGGCAAAAATATACTTAAATCTTTAGATCATCTGAAAAGCAAAGAAGAGTCTGATCTTGGACAAGTATGTTTTTATTCAGTCTTATCTCAAAAAAAATCTTATGTATCAAAAAATGCTAGAATTACTTTCAGCCATTCTTACAGTAGCATTCAGAGAAGTTTTGATATTCCATTTTTTTAACCTTTAAAATGTTATTATTTATGAACCACAGACTGTAGGGGTGGGAGAAACTGTTTCTATAAACAATATGTATTCCAAAAATCAATCAGACTAATCCACTTGTTTAAAGAAAGTTTTAACAATTTCTAATGAAGAACCTCTACTGTATTTCCCATTTGGAAATGGGAACCTCTTGTGTATTTCCCTTTTGGCTTCTACAAGTACACAGCACTGAATTACAGCAACACCAACTGGAAGGCCACATGGCCCCAAGTATTTTTCTCTTTTTCTACTCATCTCTTAGCCAAGTAGTTCTGAGACCCCAGTATTCTCCTGACTCATGCTTTCTCAAAGATAGTACCTGGTCCTGAGATTGCACATTAAATCTTGTAGTACTATGGTTGATGTTAAAATGTTATTAAAAAGAGAACCTAAAAAATATATAGAACTCAAGAAATTCGGCGTTACAGAACCACAACACAAACTTGACAGTTGCAAGAATCAGAGAGGTTCCCAACTCCTATTCTCTTGTCACTTCATCAGTAATACCAAATACACTAAAGTCAAAAGTCCCCTTATGTGAACATTTACAAATTGAGCATTCCTGAAGGCTTGATCTTGTAGCAGATCAAGTATTCCCTTACTTCACAGAACAGTCAAGATTAGGAAGTTGTAACTGTTGAGACGTTCTGGAACAAGCCCATAAGCCACCATACCAAAAACTCACTTCTCCCTTCACTAACATGTTTTTTACACAAAGTGCAGTTAAAGTCAGAGCTTCTCCTGAGCAACAGAGAATCGAAGTTTTCCCCATGAACACGATGGTGAATGCTGCCTCTGACATTAAGACATCCCCACTAGATGGCAACGTGATTCAACAACTGAAAAAAATTGAATTCAACTGTTAGGGAAGAGCAACCCCAGTGCTCATGTTTCTTCTTTCCTAAAAGCAGCACTGTTCACAATCCCTTTGCACCACAGGTGGAATTATTTTTATTGTAGGCCATGGATTTAATATGTACAAGATATATAGCCATAAAAGAGCAATATTTGCTCTTGACTTACAAGATAAACTTGTTCAGTGCCATTCATAAAAAATTCATAGAGGTTTTGGCCATTTTCAAGACCAAAATCCAATCCAAAGTATCCTGATTTATACAAAAAACAAAAGAGGTTTTTTTCCTCACCTTTGCTTACAGATAAAAGGAGATTTGGATCTCTTGGATGGAATTTCAGTTCATTGATTGCATTTCCATGGCCCACGTAGTGCTGGGATAGAATTCAGAGACCAAGTTATCATTTCCCCTCATGTTTACATGTATTTAGAAGACATAAGTTTCATGCCTTACTGAAACACAAGCTGTAACTTGAAGTCTGGAGCACTCACCTTTATGCACTGCATTGTAATAGGGTTAATTATCCTAATAATACCCCTGGACCCTGCCACAGCCAGAAGAGGATGGCTTGTATTGCTATCATATGTCCATGCACAGGTATAGAAATTTTCATCTGCCTTCAGCATCTCACATTAAGGAACACAGAAAAAACAGGAGATTTTTTTTTTTTTAAAGCAACGTGATTTTTTTTTTAAGTAAACTTGTTGCTATTTTGTGCAAGTGCCTAGGAGTCTCTGCTGGATGCAGTAAGATACATATTTTATTATACATCTGTAAATACAAGCAACATCACCTTTTGTATAGATGCCAGTCCCCTCACTTCTGTTCCATAACATACAAGAACACATTCTCTCTCTTGGCATCACTTTTCAACCTCTTTTCTCCAAAACATCCAAAGATGGGAAATAAAATAAGGATGAATCAAGACTGAGTTGACACATTACCGACTCATGTACTGCAAATGATCAACACAAGTTATTACCACTTCAGAGCATGAAACATGATTCTTGGGCTTTAAACCCAGTTCCAATTCACAGTGAAACTAAGACTACTGTAAAGCGGTAAATGAGAAACATTAAACAAATATTAGTGTTGGGAAGACTGAACTGATGGAGAATCAGTTTTCAAATATTTTAATACAGCATGGTCCATGAGTCGGCGCTTTTAGTATTTTTTCAGTAGGAGGGACTCTAGGATGTGGGAAAGAGGTAATACTTGGACCTAACATAAGGAATGTGCCACATGAGCAAAGTATTCAATCACAGACAAAACCTTCATATGCTTTTTCCTATAAAACCTCTTCATTTTTGATAAGCAGGAAGCAAACAAGTATCTTTTTAACTCAAAAGGATACATCAGCATCCACGTAGGACTGCAACAGACGGATTTCGCCTTGGGAATGACACTCATATAAAGTAACCTGGAGGAAAAAAAAAAGTGAGAGAGATTGCTGCTTACTTGTGATATTTCAGAAGGAAATTGCATGCACCAGTGCATTCACTTACTGATGGAGAGAGGTAGTGTGCCTTTATGTTTTAGATCTCATCTTTCATCTGTTTCCAACAGGTAGAAATGGTTTGATAAAAGAATGCTCACAGCAGCTTCAGTGAAGCACCACTCCAGGACTTGTCAGCAGCCCTTCACAGACATTTAAATCTATTATTTGAATTGTCTTAGTAAGATCAAACTCTATTTGGAATTAGTTACTGCAGCCATCTGTACTGGGTTTGAATGGCAAGGTTTTGGTAGCGGGGGGCTACAGTGGTGTCTTCTGTGAGAAGCTGCCAGGAGCTTCCCCCATGTCTGACAGAGCCAACGCCAGCCGGCTCCAAGATGGACTCACCGCTGGCCAAGGCTGAGCCCATCAGCAACAGTGGGAACACCTCTGGGATAACGTATTTAAGAAAGGGGAAAAAAACTGTGGGAGAGCAATTGCAGCAGGAGAGACGAGTGAGAATATGTGAGACCAACAACTCTGCAGCCCCCAAGGTCAGTGAAGAAGGAGGGGCAGGAGGTGCTCCAGGTGCCAGAGCAGAGGTTCCCCTGCAGCCCGCGGTGCAGCCCATGGTGAGGCAGGCTGTGCCCTGCAGCCCAGGGAGGGCCGTGGGGGAGCAGATTCCACCTGCAGCCTGGGGAGGACCCCAAACTGGAGCAGGGGGATGCCTGAAGGAGCCTGGGACCCTATGGGAAGCCCACACTGGAGCGGGTTTGCTGGCAGGACTTGTAACCCCGTGGGGGAACATGCTGGAGCAGTCTGCTCCTGAAGGACTGCACCCCTTGGGAGGGATCCCACACTGAGGCAAGAAAAGAATGTGAAGAGTCCTCCCCGTAAGGAGGAAGTGGCAGAGACAACGTGTGGTGAACTGACCACAAGCCCCCATTCCCATCCCACTGCACCACTCAGCGGGAGGAGGTAGAGAAATCAGGAGTGAAGTTAAACCTGGGAAGGCTTAACAGAGGAGTGAGGAGAAAGCGCTTTTAAGATTTAGTTTTTATTTTTCATTATCCTACTCTGATTTGACTGTTAATAAATTAAACTTATTTCCCCAAGTTGAGTTTTGCCCATGACAGTAATGGCTGAGTGATCTTTCCCTGGCCTTATCTTGGCCCACAAGCCTTTCATTATATTTTCTCTCCCCTGTCCAGCTGAGGAGGGGGAGTGAAAGAGCAACTTTGGTGGGCACCTGGTATCCAGTCAGGGTCAACCCATCACACCATCTCTAACATGACTTAAGTCTTTTAATGAGCCATTGATACCTTGTTTAATCTTAGTTTAGCACTTTTAGTAACTGCCAGGTGGAACAAATGTGGAAATGAAAGGCTTCTTGTTTATTCACACCACTTACATAGAATGTACTTCAGAAGTTATTTTAAAGATTGAAATGACATGGATCCTTGTTCAGAAAAAGCCTATAAATTCACTCCAAACAGGCCATTAATTTAGCTACTGAGCTGCCTGGCATCACTGCACACTCTCATCCCATTTTAGAACACACAACCTTTTGAAAACAGTAACATATATGAAGAGTAATTTTAGCAAGAAGACACATCTACGCACCTCTCTTCCTTATCCCATGTTTATATTACCAAAGGATTTTTCTTCTTTACTATATAGGCTAATTCCCAAATAGCTAACACATGACTTCATAAAACAATCCAGAGGATGTAACTCTCCTACATGACAGGCTACAAACCTCAGAAATAAAGCTTTCGATCTGAAGTATCCTGTGTCTGTACTAAACATGGGTAAAGAGTTTGGCTGAAAAAAAAGAATGCAAGCTGAACCACAGAGAATGCTTATGGTTAAAAACAGATTACTCACTCTGTTGCTGCCTACAGTGGCAAAAACGAGAGGATCACCTTCTTTACTGTGCCAGTTAAACTGGACTCCAAACAAAGGCTGACCATGGTCCTCCTGTAGATGTAAAGTAAGATTAGAGAAGAAAAAAAAAAAATCACAGGCATACTATTTCTGTGAAATTCAGCCTTGGTGGTAAACAGATTGGTATGTTTTCCTTCTCAAACTACTGGGTTCATATCCAGTATAATTTCAGATAGTGAACAGTTAAAAAGAACAGGTTTGTAACATCACGTTTTAACTTCACCCTCTTGAGGGAATATTCTGACACCACTCCTTTCTTCCCCCAGCAAGTTTTTAAAAAGTGAAAGGGAAGAGCTGTTATCTCACAGTAATGGCCAGAAGCTAGCAGAACTGAGTTATATTTGCAGTGCTCCTACTTTGTTTTGCAAATTTCAACAAGGCAACCTCTGCATCTAAGGCCAGATCTATCTGCATTTTATATTGTTATAATTACTTCCACACAAGGACTTCCACTACACAGAGGAGAATTATTAGGACAGAGGATTATACTGGTATAAGGGTGGAGGAGGGCTACATTTAACTATTACAGCACAGTTAAGTCTCGCAACTCTATCACAGACACTGAACTCTCTCCAGCATGCCACTACTGCTGCAAAGTTCACATCTACAAAGTGTTTTCAGATTGCCTTCACCAACAGTTACCACAGAAATGCCAAGTATTATTTTTATACAGCTTACATCTGTTTAATAGAGAAAAGAAAAGAAGCAGATATGTTTATGAATTGCGATGAATATGATGGTGCTTGTTAATAATTGATAACAGTATTTTGGCCTGTCCCGACAGGATGTTTTCAGTAAGAATAATGTTCATTAAAGTACCTCCCCACAGGGGACTGTCTGGGACAGTGCAGGCAGGAAGGAAGTGTCTCATGATGGCTGTTAAGCAGCCTTCAAATGGCAGTGCTTCAGAGACTACACAAGAAATATTAGCCCTGGCAGCTCTGGCCTAGCCAAGAACCAAAGAATAAATTTGAGGAGGGGGTGTGGGTGGGGAGTCCAACACTACTCAGAAAAAGTAAGGAAGTCTGAAAGAATTTAAAATAACATTATTTACTGAGAAAGGCAGCATCTGTTATTAACAGAAATATCTATAAGAGCTAGAAAGGGAGAAAATCTTTCAGAGATGAAGGCCCTCCTGCAATTCTTAAAGAGAAGTAACAACTTTCAAAGCTGAATGCATATTAAAAAGAATTGTTCAAAGTTTAAGTCAAAGTATTACCCATCGTAACATGAAAGAACAGACTAGTGGCTTTATGTGATGAGGGATATGGGATATTAGCAAAAGGAAAAGTAGCAAGGTTCTTGCTACAGGACAGAAGGAAAAAGTAAGTACTCAGCATCTGTAAAGCATTATAGTTTAATTAGAGATGAAGAATGAGGAAAACTGTATGACATAAAATTGCATACACAAGGCCATGATTTTTAGTGTCCAATAAAGCTATGAATTTTGTTTTCCAGGATTATTTTTTGAGCTTATTTGTCTTCCTTGAAGAAAATGGTTAAGAGATCAAATAATAAATACTTTTAAAAAAATTTCCACTAATAATCAGTTTGTTTTTAATGTCTTCATGAAAGAGTTCATGATGGTGAATACTGAGGGATTTTGACATACTTGCATGAAGATAACAGGTAAAATGCATGGATTCTTACTGCTTTATTACAGAAATATACTAGCAGGTTTTGCACTACTTTTTCTGGAATTACCTTGTTTTGTGTCATGTGCACTGTTTCTGATAAATTTACTGAAACAGGGAACGTGAAGATGGCTTTCCCCCTCATAGGATATTTTTCCAGTGTAAACTGTGATAAGCTTGTAGGATCTAAACTAGGGTGATATGTAGTAAGGAAAGAGATATAACAGAGGGCTATACTGCTTCTGTATTTCTGTATTAGAGTACACACCTAAAGTATTTAGTCAGTTTTTTCAAAGACAGCTTATTTCCCTAGAAAAGTTACTCTGTGAGACAAATGTCTTCAGACTACTTGCATCATCCATACTACATTCCTCACATAGAGTGCTACAACCTCCAAGATCCTGACTATGTACATCGTAGTTTTTCTGGTGTCTAGTGGATAAAGGAGTAAGGCAGAGGCTCTTGCAGGAAGTCACCAGGGTATCTGAAGAAGTTACGCTCACCTCATTTAAACTACCATCATCCTTACTGGTCAGAGACAGCATACAGCTATTTTGATAATACTTGTCCACTCTGATTTTTGTCCCAAGTGCTAAACAGTAAAGCAGGTTTTTAAAAACATCACACTTCCAGGTGCTGCACGTTATGGTTATCCTGAAATGCCAAGTACGTCATGGAAAGCTGACCACTGGTTTGTACAGAGGAGTGACCCAAATGCTGGCCCAAAAGTAGAATTGTGAAATGCCATCCTAACCCTGGTATGAATAAAGGGCACAAAACCCAAAGTACTCAGGTTCTTCATACACCAGAGAAAGAAGGCAGAGGAGAAAATACACATACACTTGATACAAAAGCAAATTAATAAATACTCAATGGTTAGATCTGCTCTTACTCACTCAATGCCAACTCAGGTTCAGTCAGAGAGTAAGACTAGACCTGTTTTTAGACTGAAGGCAGTGAAGTAAATACTATGCCAACATAAAAAATAATCACTTGCAACTACATGAACCCATTTTAATATTCCATCACCCACACTGCCAGCAGGGAACCAACTAACCACACATGCATTTCCAGTTCCCTGAAGTGGCAGCAAGCCATTATTGGCAGTGGTTTTTGTTACCTCTCCCTTACACATCAACAAGCTAGAATCTTGAATGTGGTCGGTTACTGATTCTCAGCTCAGGGGACAGCAAGTAGAAGCTGAGAGACAACACTGGACTGCTCACAACCACTGAGCGACACCCTAAGCAAGAGCAAAGGGCAAATAACAGCATTGTTTTGAAGAGAGCACATCAGAGCTGAACACAGAGAGTTCTTTGCTGGAAGATCTATGAGCAAAACATAGATGGAGGGATGTGAGGATGTGTGTCTGTTAGCTGTATATGCTCATTTATAAACTGTATTTCCATTCAGCCCACAGACAGCAAAGATTTTTCAGTACACCCTACAGTAACTTAGTACTGCTAAAAAAAAAAAAAAGGCAGTTTTTATTTCCTGTCATTTTCCAAATTATATTTTTGTTTTCCTGATGCTTAAGTTTCACTCAAAATAACTTCCACAGTAGTATTTAAAAAGAATACTTAGCAAGCACTGAGTTTTTCAGGCTGAATCATAACCATTTAACATTCAAAGCAGATGGTAATGGACATATTTCTTTGTTTTCCAAAGGAAAAAAACTAAAAACAAGAGTAGGAAAGGGAAAAAACACATAATTTCTACATCCCTAAAGAATATTAATTTCCATGTCTTTAAATCACGTTGACTCTCATTAATTTCAGTACATGCACCTTACAGAATAGTTCAAAAACATATAAACTATGGGATATATGATGTGATATGCAAAGAGTCACAAGTGTCTTTCTGAACCCATATACAGCATCCTATTGTTACAGTTTATCTCCACAGTATCTGCAAAATTAGTATGGAAGAACAGGAAAAAGAAGAGTTGCTTCCTCAATCATGAAGTAAAAAGGAGTTATCAAATTTGGCTGCTACCTCATCTTTGTATTAACATATATGTTTATTATTATTAGCATTAGTTTCAGTTCAAAGAGAAAGGGGAAAAAGAAGGTAATAAAAATAGCCCACATAGCTGAAATGCTACATTTACTCCCTCACAGCTTGATTCCACTTGCACAGGAATGTGTACCCAGGCCCTGATCCAAATCCACAGAAGTCAGGGATTCCTTAACTTCATAGGGTGGTCTTTTGGGTCACCCTATAGTGGGGCCTGGGTTGAATTTGAGATGAGGGAATGTTCTGTTTTCCCAGAAGACACTTGAACAGTACTAACCCCTTTAGAATATTTGGTCTGCAGACAGAAAACAAATACGCTTAGCAAAACTCAGAACTTGTTAAATGTCTGGGTGCCGAAAGGCCCGCGCCTGTGTTTGAAATATGACTTGAAGCCACAAAAAGCACTACCTGCTGGGGCAATTCATGAGAATCACAAGAACAGCTGCCTACCTAAGTGAAAATGAAAGAACTTCTCTTCTTCCTGCACCCTGAAAGGACTTAAGATAGTTTTTATACTTCAAAAAACATATTAAGATCAACTTGTTTCCCATGTACTTTTGTCAGGATAGCTTCATATCACAATTTTTCCAGTGGCAAAGCTCATTTAGGTTTCCATGCTCCAAACCTCTCACCCCTTCCCACTCAGCTACCCCAGCATTTCAGTGAGGCAGTCTGAAGCCAAAGTTCAGAAACAGCTACAGCAGCACACCTCAACAGTAAAGTGTGAGGGAACGACAAAAACCTCTTAAAGCAACTCTGCAGCAAATATCCACTATGGAGCTGCACACATCCTCCTGTTAGCTAAATATAAAGTTTAACAGGACTCCCATATCTTGTTCCAGACGCAATCTTTTCTTTATTTAGAAATCTTGTAAAAATCAAATCAGATGGCATATTTACAGCTTTTGCCACATAAATATCTCACACAAGGCTGGGGAACGAAACAACAACATACTGACAGTGTAAAAGAATCCAAGAGAAAATTCACTCAGTTCACCATAGTCTGTCACCAGTGTAGAAGAAAACAATAATTCCCTAAAACACAAGAACAAGGAACAAAGACTACGAATCCACATCCCTTAATATCATCAGGTATTATTCAGGAAGATAAATTGACCAGGTGCAAACCCATCATCACAACACCCATGATAAATTAACCAAATTGCACTGTATAGCATTTTTGACAATTGCCAAAGGACAGAAAATACCTGATCTGGTAAATGTGAGGAAAAGGTTATTCCAAGACTGTTGAGTCTTTTTTTTTTAAAAAATACATTTCAATGGGTAGAAACAAAATCAACAGGTTCTGTGCTTCGCATCAAGTTGTCACAGGTTTGGTTTTATTTGTTTATCCAGCTTCTTGTCTTTATCTCAAGCAACTATAGCTTCAATTAAATACATGATTATAATATATCACACATGACTTTGCAAAACTCTACAAAAATTGGGTTAATTGCAGCATTACTGTTTCGTATTTCTCACTATTCTTTTTCTTCAAAGCTTCAGCTATTCCAAATAAGAAAGGTACTTTCTTCAAACGAGCATGTAACATAATTGTATACAGATACTTAAAAATATCTCTCTTGATACTGTCTCACAGTCACCATTAATTACTGCCAGGAAACTGCACCCAGCATTCCCATGTTGAAGCTTACACATACCTACCTTTAGGCTATTTACACATTTGAAGGAATATTTGCACTTCTTTGACTTCCATTTTCCTTTCCCCCAGCTTTTTCTTCCTGGTGCATTAGGAGTGTTTGTTGGTGTATCAGGGCGTTCAGTGTTAGTACCGCTTTCAATACTAACAGCATCATCCTGAAAACATTCAAATTATATAGAATGTAATAAAGATATCATTAACTGCCATATAAATTCAACTAATTATGCAGCACTTGGCCTTTTCACTTTTGCTTCTCCTCCATAAGAACAGAAGATCTCCTAGGACTTGGTGTTATTTAGATACACGTATTTAAATCTATTACTAACATAATAGCATTCCTCCCTAGAAACAGAACATGAGTCACATGAGGACTAATCCAAGAGGGACAGACGTGAACTGTGATCTAGCGAAGCTTCTTTAGAATACTGGTAGCTGCTCTTAAGAAAATGTCTACAGATAAAGTGGTTTCTTTCCCTAGAAAAATCTTTGACATACATGAAATGAGTACTTCTGAAGCACTGAAGGAAGAGGTTGTTTGTGTAAAAACATTATGCTTGGCCATACCAAGAATCTAACCCTTCTGAGAGACTTCTGGACACCCTCAGCAGCATCAGGCACAGCACAGTTCTGCAACGTGAGCACTGCCACTAGAAGAGGAAGTCCCACCTCTCCCTTCTGATCTTTCCTACAGACACTTGCTTCAACTAAAAGGTAAGTCCAAAAAAAAAAAAAAAAAACAAAACCAAAAATAAAATTAGCTTGCTGTCCCATCAACTGACTAATCCAACTGGCCCTCCAACTGTCAGCAGCCAGAGCTAAGGTAAAGATGGGGAAAACTGAAGAAATCCAACCAGTCACTGAGCAGTTTTAGATCAACTTTGGACAATTAACAGAATCTACAATTTCATACGTAGTATGACTGCAGGACACTACTCAAAAGGACATTTCTATTCTCTGCATCACCCATTACAGTGCACTTCACCTGCATCATAACTGGCAACCCTGTGCTTATGGATGAGTAATTTCAGCTTGTTAAAAATCAACTTGTTTTCTTTTTTTCCTAGCAAGGTAGTCTGTTCACTTTCCATCAGAGTAGTGGGGGCAAAACAACTCATCCCAAGGCCATGTGATTTCTAAATCTGAACTAAGGGAGACAGAGGCAGACAACAGCCTGTCACTGGAGGAGATTAAGTGTAACATGAAGCTGCAACAAGAACTCCACTAGGAATAAGGAATAATAGACATTATACACCAATTCCCACCAAACATTTATTCCTTGTCCTAGTTTCATATCTGCATCATCAGAACCCTGTAGAGGTGCACTGGTCTTTGCCCAACAACTCTGAAAATCAGGACATCAAGAGAAAAAACAGGAAGAATGACAACACATAAGACTGTAAATTAACTGCTCAATCCTTAAGTCATTCCCTTCATGTCACACCCCTAAAAGAGTCAATCCTCCCCTAATATGCATAACCAAATTTAACAATTTTTACTTTTTCCACTTGCGTCTCCTTTACCACAAGAAATTTCAAAGCTTGCCAAATTCCTGTCTCCCAAGCGCACTTGCTAGCCAGAGCTGTAATACTTCACAAAACTGAAGTTTTCTCTGGACTAGTCCAATATTGTTACTATAAGAACACCAGGTATCCGGTACAATGCAACTACAACACAGCTGACACGCTTGCACCCCAGTATACCTGTAGAACAAAATACACCCTTTCTCCAAATCAACACTATTATGCCAACTTTTAAACAGAATCCCCATCTTTCAGGAGTAGCAGAGCCCAGTAACCAACTCCTGAAAAGGGAGTCATTTCACCACAGGGCCAGGTGACATTTTCAATAACCAGACAGCCCACATCGGTAGTCACTGACATCAAAGCAAACCTGAATGTTTCTGCCACTGAATTGCACTTGGACTCACAAATGCTGTTGAGCAGTAAAAATAAATGCAGTAGCTGTGGTGTGGAGTGGCACTTCCACAGGCTGTGGGGGATGCAGTCCAGATCCTTCACTTTCTGGATAAATACTCTAACCAGAAAAAAACTCCATGCCGCATGAAGTTAACACCCAGATACCAGCCCCCACACAGTAACTACATAAAATGACTGATAGATACCTTAGATTATCTTTCAAGTGTAAACCTACTCTATATCAATCACATTACCTTTGTTCTGAACACAAGATTTTAGCCCAATTTTGAGATTAGAGTCCTCAGCCCCCTGCTGCCTTCTTCCGCTGACAGGAGCTTACGAGCACTACCCCCTATTCCTCAATCACCGACACATTTATGCTGCTTGTTTCTCTGCAACGTGACAGAGAAGCTACGCGACACAAAACTGCAGGCAAGAGGGAAAATTTGGCTGTTTCACAGAAAAAAAAAAAAAAAAAAAGTCTGACAATTCGAAGTAGACTTCGAGACAGAGCCCCGCTTAGAGTTTGGGCCTCAAATTCTCCCTCACCCACGTGCAGGAAAAAGTGAGGGTCTCTCACCCAGACCCACGCGGGTCTCTCCCACCGGGGCCTCCCTCCGACGGCCCCTCTGCCTCGGGGGGCTGCCACCCCCCCTCTCCCCCCTCACCCCTTTCACCCCCCATCCTTTCTCCCGCCCGGTACAGCCCCCGCGCCCCGGTGGGACCGGACCAGGGACTCCGAGACACCCGTGGGGGTGGGCTGGGAGGTCCCCTCGCAGCGGGTCGGTCCGTCCGTCCGTCCCCCTCCTCGCCTTAACGCTCCCGCCCGCCCCCGGCGCGAGGCCCCGCGGCGGCCGCGCGCGCGCTCCCGCCTCCCCGCCCCCCCACCCCCCCCACCCCCCTCCCCGCCTCACGTTCTCATCGCCCGACAGGTCCCCGGGGTTGCTGTTCTCGTCGCTGCTCAGCTTCTGCTTCTTCGCCGGCATCTCACCCCCCGCTCCCGCCGCCGCCGCCGCCGGGGCTTCTCCCCGCTCAGACATCTTCCCCGCCCCCCCCCCGCCTCCACGGGCCCCGCCACGCAGCCGCAAATTGCGGACGGGGAGGTCGAAACGCCCGCCGTAAAGCAACCCCGCGCACCGTTCCCCCGGCGGGGAGCGGCGAGCTGCCACACTGCTGAAAAAGCGCTCTTCCCGCGCGCGACGCCTGAGGGGACCGGGACCGGGACCGGGACCGGGACCGGGACCGGGACCGGGACCGGGACCGGGACCGGGACCGGGACCGGGACCGCTCGCCGCGCCGGGGTTGCGCGTGAAATTAACGCCTCTTTTAACAGCGCGGAAGCGTAGCGGCACTTTATATCGCCGTCGGTACCGCGGCGCTGCGAGGCAGGGCGGCCGAGGACGCGCGTAAGGTAGAAACAAGCAGTCTCCGTCGCCAAGGGTCTTAGCGGTCGCTCAGTCCCTCATCGCTCCGCTGCGAAGTGCCATTTCTTGTGCCTAAAGGGTTTGTTTTGTTTTGTTTTGTTTTGTTTTGTTCTTCCCTTGTTCTACAAACGTCCTTCAGTCTGGAAATGGTGTTTCTGGAGAGGGAACATAGGCTCTGCTTTGCTGCCTGCTCCTGTACTCAAGTTCTTGCTACAGCTATAAATGAAAAACTGCAGTTACCAGATTTTTGTTTGTTTATTTCAGAAACCACAGGTCCCAGAGTCATAATAATTATGAACAGTAAAACACTTCTACCAAAGGGGAAAAGTAACTTGCCCACAGGCACAGCATCTTATCTGCTTTTCTTGGAAGGGCAGAAACAAGTCTTTCCTCCCTGAGGGAGACATTCCAGTCTCAAAAAGTGATTGCTTTGAGGGAAGTGACAGAGGGGAGCCATGCCCTGTATGTAAAATTTAATCTTGCATAACCTTCAGAGATGAAGAACAGACATGCTTAAAATAGTGCATGTACTATAGTGTTTTTATCAATAAACATCCTTGTCTTTTTGTCTGCAGAACTGTAGGCTCCAGTGAAGCATTACATAGAATCATAGAATGGTTTGGGAGGGACCTTAAAGATCATCTAGTTCCAACCCCCCTGCCATGGGCAGGGACACCTTCCACTAGACCAGGGTGCTCCAAGCCCCATCCAACCTGGCCTTGAGCCCTTCCAGGGAGGGGGCAGCCACAGCTGCTCTGGGCACCCTGTGCCAGTGCCTCACCACCCTCACAGGGAAGAATTTCTTCCTTATAGCTCATTTGAATCCACCCTATTTTAGTTTAAAACTATTACCCCTTGTCCTATCACTACATGCCCTTGTAAAAAGTCTCTCCCCACCTTCCCTGTCCCCCCTTTAAGCACTGGGAGGAGGCTCTAAGGTCTCCATGGAGCTTTCTCTTCTCCAGGCTGAACACCCCCAGCTCTTTCAGCCTGGCCTCACAGGGGAGCTGCTCCAGCCCCCTGAGCATCTTTGTAGCCAACTCTGGCCCGGCTCGAGCAGGTCCATGTCCTTCTGATGTTGGCAGCCCCAGAGCTGGACTGCAGGGGGGTCTCATCAGAGCGGAGCAGAGGGGGAGAATCCCCTGCCTTGACCTGCTGCCCACCCTGCTCTTGATGCAGCCCAGGGTATGGTTGGCTTTCTGGGCTTCAAATGCACATTGCCAGGTCATGTTGAGCTTCTCACCCACTGATATCCCCAAGTCCTTCTCCACAGGGCTGCTCTCAATCCACTCATCACCCAGCCTGTATTTGTGCTTGGGATTGCCCTGACCCATGTGCAGGACCTTGCACTTGACCTTGTTGAACTTCATGAGGTTTGCACGGGCCGGGCCGATCTCTGGATGACATCCCTTCCCTCCAGTGTGTCACCGCGCCACACAGTTTGGTGGTGTTGGTGAACTTGCTGAGGGTGCGCTCAATCCCACTGTCCATATCACCAACAAAGATGTTAAACAACGCCAGTCCCAACACCAACCTCTGAGGAACACCACTCATCCCTGCTCTCCACTTGGACATTGAGCCATTGACTCTTTGAATGCGACCATCCTGCCAATTCCTTACCCACCAAGTGATTCATCCAACAAATGAATCAGAGACAAAGATGTCATGTGGGACAGTGTTAAATTCTTTGCACACGTCCAGGTAGTTGATGTCAGTTGCTCTTCCCATATCCACCAACGCTGTAATCCTGTCATATAAGGCCACAAAATTTGTCAGGCACAATTTGCCCTTAGTGAAGCCATGTTGGCTGTCACCAATCACCTCCTTATTTTCCATGTGCCCTCGCACAGTTTCCAGGAGGATCCACTCCATGATCTTGCTGGGCACAGTGGTGAGACTGACGTAATAATATATGGCAAAATGTTGTAACTTACAGTTAATAAAAGCTCTGCTAAGGTCTGTGCTGTAAGATCAAGGTTGTGATAAAAGTGTTTGTGGGAAAATAGACAAAGAAGGAACAGGCCTGTTTTTAAAATGTGACAGGATGTTTTTAGTCTGGCATCTTAATTAAGACTAAGTCACGACTGCTGCAGATCTGTTGAAAGAAGGGCAGGCACAAACTTTTCAGTGGTGAGGGTTTTTAACTTCTCCTCATGGGTGCCCTTGAGCTACTGGAGAGAAGACAGCTCCCCTTCATTTTGCAGCTGTCAGCTGACATCCTCCAGATGGCCAGCTATGCATTCAACTCCACCACGTTTCACTGGCTCATCCAAAACATAAGGAAAGTGAAAGCCTCAGCTAGCCTGTGCTTCTTGACCTGAATGCAGGAAGGTTCCCCATCCACACCCAGAATCAACCAGTTCAGTCTCCATCACCAATTTACTGGGCCCAGACTGATCTATGCCATCTCCTGTCTTCTGGATGCTAGAGGACTTCCTTCACCAGGTGACAATCCTGCTGGCCTCTCTAGACAGTTCTTAGTCTAAACCATTTGCCTTTTTCTTCTTTCTCAGAAGACATGAAAGACTGGTACACCAGGGGAGCTGAGTTTCCAAAAGTCATGGTACACTTCATCAAGTTTCTATTTAAAGAATTACTTGCATGGTTAAACACAAGCTTGAAAGTTCAGAGAATTTGCTTCAATTTGTGCTCTGCTGGGATTCTCTTGGGAAAGCGTCTGTGCTTTTCTGTACCTCAGTTTCTTGACTGTATTATTTGAGAAGCATTTCTTACACCCTAGGGAGGTATTATGAAAAAAATATATAATATAATTCATTATTTGTTTAATTAGTATGGTACTGTTGTATAAATACCATACATATATTAGCTAAGAAGTAATAGAGCCCTTGACATAGTATATAGAAGAAAATGGTGAAAACAGTGGGTTTCAAGGAACAATGATTTAGTGGTATTTAAAAAGCACAAGATGGGTACTTGGGAGAGCTAGATTTGATGTATATGGGAGGATTTTGCCAAATGTGAGTTCTCATAGGATTGTAATAGTAAATGTCAAAAAAAAATTTCTGGAATGCCTTGAAGACATGGGATCTTAAGAGACGAGCTGGTTTGGGGTTTTTTTGTTTGTTTGTTTGTGTTTTGTTTTGTTTTGTTTTTACATACCAGCATATTTCTGGATCATTCAGGGACATTGAAATACTTTTTACATATGTATGCTGAAAGTAAATCAATCTCCTTTCATTCATTCTCTTCAAGGCATGCTTCTTCACAGGATCATGGGATCACACAGATTGGAAAGGAACAAGCTCAGCATCTCTAACCCCTGCTCAAAGTAGGTCCAGTTAAAGCCAGTTCCCCAAGGCCTTGTTGAGTCCCATTTTGAGTACCTTCAATGCAAGAGATTTTTCAGCCACTGTGGTCCCCTGTTTTCAGTGTTTACCTACCCTCATAGTAATCTTTTTTTTTTTTCCCCTTGTAATGAGTTAGAAATTCCCATGCTTCAACTTGCGTCTCTTGCCTCTCATTCTTTCCCCGTGCATGTTTTCTTTATGTCCTCCCATTAAGCAGCCATAGACAGCAACAAACTCCCTCCTTAGCTTTCTCTTAAGGCTGAACACTTAAGAGCTCTTAAGGCTCAATTTCTTGTACTGGGAAGCTCAAAACTGGACACTTCTAAGATGTGGTCTCACAAGTGCCAAATAGAAGGGAAGAACCACTTAACTTACTGATTACACCCTTGCTAATAACAGCCCGGCACGTGGTTAACCTTCTCTGCTGCAAGGGCACTCCCCTGACTCATCTACTTGCTGTACACCAGGACCTCTGAGTCTTTTCTGCTAGGCTCCTTTGTTGACCCCTAACCTTTACTCTTGCATAAAGCTATCTCTCCCTCTGTGTGGGACTTTGCATTTGCCTTTGTTGAACTGCATGATGTTCCTGTGAATCTATTCCTCCAGCCCATCTAGGACACTCCATAGAAGCCCCAACCTCCATCTTATCAATCATTCACCCCCAGTTTAGTATTTTCCACAAATTTGCTGTGATTGCCCCCACCACATCATCCAGGTCATCAATAAAAGACATTAAACAGTACTGCCCTAGTACCCATCCCAGAGGGATGCCAGTAGTAACCTGTAGCCAGTTGGACTTTGTACCACTGATCACTCTTTGAGGCAAACCAACTTTCCACCTGCCTTGTAGTCCGCTTATCCAGCCATACTTCACCAATCTGACTGTAAGAATACTATAGGAAAACATGTCAAAAGCTTTGCAAAAATTTACAATGTTGACAGCTCCCCCTTTGTCCACACAGCCAGTCATCTCATTGTGGAAAACAATCAATTTGACCTGGTAAATACATACTGGCTGAATCTTTTCCATGTGCCTCCTTCCAAAAAGGGAGTCTCCATCTTCTTTGTAGCCACCCTTTAAGTACTGGAACATGGTGATAAGGTCTCCCCTAAGCCTTCTTTTCTCAAGGCTGAACAAACCCAGTTCTCTCAGCCTCTCCTCACATGCCAGGCTTCCCAGTCCCTTGATCATCTTTGTGGCCTCCTCTGGACCCTCTCCAGCCTGTCCACAGCTTTTTTGTATCGTGGGGACCAAAACTGAACACGGTATTCCAGGTGTGGCCTGACAAGCTCTAGGTAGAGTGGGATAATGACTTCTTTATCTCTGC